AGTTTAGCATAATAGCATCCGTAATTATTCTTAATGTTAATTTAAAATTAATGTTCTTATTTTAAATAGTTATTACATAATTTTGTTTAGGTCTCAATGTCAGTAGAAATAACAATGATTTTTTGTACGGCCAAGGCTATGATGATGCATCGAATATATCCGGGCAATAATTTATAGGAGTAAAATCTATTACACAAACAAATATTTAAATATCTTATAAAGCATTATAATATGTTCACTGTGTTACACATTCTTTAAATTTGGCAGTATCCTCTGCGTGCGATTTATAATCAWTTCGAAATCGCCTTGTGGTCATTGAAAAGTTTTTTAGTTTTTTAATGCACCTAAATGCAAGAATGTACTTTTGAAGCTATTAATGATATTAATAAGYGTAGAATCACTAGAATCATTAACATGATGAATATAAGATAATATTCCTCGAATATTTACAGTGTAATAGATTTTATTTTCCTAGTATATGATACATTTTTTAATACAAAAATCCCCTCTACATATTTAAAAAAAATATTTTAATAGATAGATATAGGTGCTATTGAAATAATAAGTAAGTACCTAATGTTTTAGACAAGAATTTTAATAGTCTAGATATTTTAAAAAGCCCTGTACAATAATTTAATAAAATACTGTACCTATGTCTGCATGTATTAGGTGACATTGCAATATAAAATGTTTTAGATTCTGAACGAAGTGATGAATGTATTGATTTTACAATGTGTGTGTTTTTTTTTTGTGTGTGTACAGCATAACTAGTCGAGATAATGCTTCAATTTCAAACTTTAGGGATGGTTTCCGATGTAAAAGTGAATATCCTTGGTGCATTATAGAGGTCAAAAGTAAACATTCTCCAATAGTTTTCAAAAAAATCGAGAAAAACAACAAAAAAATGACAGAAAAACGGAAATTTTTACGCAAAACCTGCAGTTTTCGACCAAATCGATTTTTTTATATGGTTGGAATTCAAAAACTAATCACTGTAAATACTT